CTCTACATCATGTCATCTTGCTTAAGGCGTTACTCTGTTTTTAACTCAATACTCTAGATGCATGGTGGATAGCGGTCGATGAGTGGAGTAATAGTAGTAGATGCAGACAGGAGTCGGTCTACTTGTCTCGGACGTGATGCCTATATACATGATCATACCTAGATATTCTCATAACTATGCTCAATTCTGTCAATTGCTCAATAGTAGTTTGTTCACCCATCGTAGAATACTTATTCTCTCGAGAGAAGTCACTAGTGAAACCTATGGCCCCCGGGTCTCTTTCTCATCATATCAATCTCCATCACTTTATTATTGCTTTGCTTTTACTTTGCTTTTACTTTTTACTTTGCATCTCTATACCAAAAATACCAAAAATATTATTTATCACCTCTATCAGATCTCACTTTCGTAAGTGACCGTGAAGGGATTGACAACCCCTAAGCGCGTTGGTTGCGTTGAGCTATTGTTTTTGTGTAGGTACGAGGGACTCGCGCGTAGCCTCCTACTGGATTGATACCTTGGTTCTCAAAAATTGAGGGAAATACTTACGCTACTTTGCTGCATCATCCTCTCCTCTTCGGAGAAATCCAACGCAGTGCTCAAGAGGTAGCAACATCACTCTCGTCGCCGCCAGAGCCGGAACTGCTGCGGTCATCCGTCATGGATCAGATATGGAGAGAAAGTGGAGGATTGGGAAGCGGAGTGGACGGAGAGAGTGGAGTGACTGAGTGAGCTACGGTCTAGGGTTCATCGGAGGGGATATTTGTGGAGTCGGTGGTGGGCTAGGCTGACGTGAAGGATGTGCCCGGGCCACCTCACGCGTGGAGCTGGGCTTACGGACGGAGACAAAAACACGAAGTACTTCCAACGACGAGCTAGCATGCGGCGTAGGAAGAACCAAATTAAAAACCTCCAACGGGATGATGGATCGACGACGCAAGATGTGTCAGAGATGGCCAACCTAGCGAACTCCTTTTACAAAAATCTCTTTACTTCCGAAGGGACATCGGGCATGGATGAGGTTTTTGGCTGCTGTTCTGACCAAGGTTACAAGTGAGATGAATGAAAATTTACTCGCACCGTACACAACAGAAGAGGTTAAAACGACCTTGTTCCAAATGTATCCTACGAAGGCACCTGGACCTGACGGATATCCGGCTCACTTCTTCCAAATGCATTGGGCTTTATGTGCCACTGAGGTAACATAGGTGGTTCTTCGCATTCTTCGTGGTGAGGAGAGCCCGGAAGTAGTCAATGAAACTATCTTGGTTCTAATCCCGAAGGTAAAAGATCCAACCCAGCTCACGCAATTCTGACCTATAAGTCTCTGTAGCGTCCTATACAAGATTGCTTCAAAGGTTTTGTCCAATAGACTAAAAATCATCCTGCCTGATATTATCTCTGAGGAGCAATCTGCTTTTGTGCCAGGAAGGCTGATTACAGACAATATCATCACGGCATATGAATGCTTGCACTTCATGAAAAGGAACAAGGCACAAAGAAACCGTTTTTGTGTAGTTAAGTTGGACATGATGAAAGTTTATGATAGGGTGGAGTGGAACTATTTAGAGGCTATTATGCTAAAGATGGGTTTTTCTCCCACGTGGGTGGCTCTGATCATGAGAATAGTGAGTTCCGTCAAATTCTCAGTTTTATTCAATGGCACTAAACTCGAAGAATTTTTGCCGTCTAGAGGGATCCGACAGGGGGACCCAATTTCTCCATACCTGTTCTTGCTTGCAGCGGAGGGCCTTTCATGCCTCTTAAAAACTACAAATGAATCATCACACCTCAGTGGTATTCAAGTTGCTCCATCGGCTCCGCCGGTAAGCCACTTGCTTTTTGCAGATGATAGTCTGCTGTTTGTTAAGGCCAGTGTTGATGGAGCAAACGAGTTGTCCTCCTTGTTAGACTCTTACTGTAATGCCTCGGGTCAGAGAGTCAACCTCTCAAAATCATCGGTTTTTCCAGCAAAGGGTGTCCAAACAGTCTCAGAGCCGAAGTGAAACAGGCACTCAACATAACTAATGAGTCTCTTTCAGAAAGATATTTGGGAATGCCATCGGATGTGGGAAACAACAAAAATGGTGCCTTCAAGTTTCTGAAGGACAGTGTGTGGAACAAAGTCAAGGGTTGGCTTGAAAAAAATTCTATCTGTGGGAGGGAAAGAAGTTCTAATCAAGTTAGTGGCACAGGCTGTTCCGGTATACTCAATGTCATGCTTCAAACTTCCTCACGGGCTCTGCGAGCACTTGAACTCTCTCATAAGGAAATTTTGGTGGGGCAGCAAGGATGGCAAGAGGAAGCCACATTGGGTTTCTTGCAGTACCATGACAAGGACTAAGCAGTGTGGGGGCCTTGGTTTTCACGATATTGAACTTTTTAACCTTGCTCTTCTAGCGAGACAGGCGTGGCGTATTCTGACGGACCCAAACACCTTAAGTGCAAGGATCCTAAAGGCCAAGTATTTCCCCACGGGAGAATTCCTCCATGCCGAACTTGGCTCTTCCCCATCTCAAGTGTGGAGAGCCATTCTTGATGGAAGAGACACTATGTCACAAGGCCTCATATGCCGGGTCGGTGATGGGCAGACTACGGAGATATGGCACCACAACTGGCTCCCGCGCCCTTATAACATGAGACCGATCACGAGCATGGTTGCTAACCCATCGCAGCTAGTTGGTGAATTGATACTGTCGGATGCTTCCTGGGACCGACAGATTGTTACGCAAGTCTTTTTACCGACTGATGCCGCGACTATCTTCTCAATTCCTCTATGCACTAAGCAGATTGATGACTTCTGGTCTTGGGTTCATGAGAAGAACGGAGTTTTTTCAGTTCGATCGGCATATCGCATGCTTGTTACCACGAAACACAGCCGAGAAGCTTGGTTAGAGGGGTGAGCGGATTCCTCCAACTCTGAAGGTGAACAGAAGTCGTGGTCCAAGCTACGGAAGGTCGAAGTGCCTTCAAAGATCAAAATTTTTCTCTAGAGACTAGCTCAACAGTCGACCCCGACGGCGGATGTGCTACATCACCGAAACATGGCGACCATGGACGGTTGCGTGCTTTGTGGTGCTACTGATTCCTGGCAACACTCTCTCATACACTGCCATGTTGCTCGCTCGGTCTGGGCTTTGCAAGCGCCTGAGATTTTTTAGGTTTTAACTGAAACAACCGAACCAGATGCAAAACGGTGGATCTTCTCTCTACTGGACACGCTTCCCTCGATGGAGTTCACTCAAGTACTTGTTACTCTGTGGGCTATTTGGTTCTCCCGACGCCAAGCATTACATGAGCACATCTTTCAGAGCCCGATGTCAACACATCAATTCATCATGAAGTTTATTCGTGAACTCAATGTCTGCAAGGCAGTTGAGGTGAAACACACTCCGGTTACTCGTTCCGGAGGGAGGCAGCCTAGGTGGATAAGGCCATCGGAAAACTTTGCTAAAATCAGGGTCGATGGGGCTGTTAACAGAGCAAATGAAGAGGGCTCCTTTAGTGCGGTTTGCAGGGACGGAGATGGCAATTACTTGGGCTCGTCAGCGATCAGATGGGCCGGCCTCACCGATCCGGCTACACTCGAGGCACTAGCTTGCCGGGAGGCTCTTGCACTTGCCGAAGATCTTTCATTATCTCATGTTATTGTTGCATCGGATTGTAAGAGTGTAGTGCAGGATATAAAACTTGGCATTGATGGGATGTATGCACCTATCGTGAAGGAGATCAGAGAGACAATGGAGATTTTCCAACAGTGCACCGTCATCTATGAAGGACGGGCAACAAATCAAGAGGCACATAGCCTCGCTAAGCATACTTTTGGTCTGGACCCGGGGCGTCATGTGTGGCTCATAAACCTCCCAGATTTAAATTGTATCCCTATAAACATTATTCAATAAAGTGAAGTGTGTTTAGACTAAAAAAAACCTACCTACCGAACGACGCCCTCTCTTCCAATTCGGAATTCAGGCGAGCCAACTGAGAGTTGAGAGAGGTGAGCGCCGCCTCCTTCCCGAGCCCACCACCGGAGCCCTTCACGAGCGCGAGACCTAGGGTTCAAGCCGCCGCTGCCGGCCCTCCGCCGCGGCTCGCCGAGCCGGCCGAACCCTCCGGGGCCCCGCCTCCGGCACAGCAGCGCCTCCCTCCCCGTCCCTGGAGCAGCCGCCCCCTCTCAGCAACGCCGCCGCCCGGAGCTACGCCAGCGACCAGTCCATAGGCAGGTAGACACCACCCCTCCTTCCTCCTTCCTCCCTCCCTCCCTCCTTCCTATTGCATCCTCTGTCCGCTCAAAATCCCCCCCCTGATTCCTGCATCGGATGAGCACCTGCCGTAGATCTGACATATATTGTGAGAACACGATGATGGTTATCTCCTGATGAGTACTCGCCGCATGAGTTTTCCCGTGCGTGCTCAAGTCCACTACGTGTGAAAGGATTTTTGCTCGATAGGTGTTTGTGGTAATGCTTGCAAGGGGCAGATGTTTACGAATTGTATGTAGTTTGAATCTTCTTCAGATGCGCAGATGTTTTTGGTTTAAACATGTTAGCAGTAGTGAAAGATGCAACGACTGACGGTGATACATATGAAAAGGGAAAACATCAACTTCTTTTTTTATCTGCACAGCCTTGACCTGGAACCAAAGCTTAGTAGCAGTAAACATGCATTTGAGAGAGCAGGGGCTTTGTCTTGGTTATACTGGCCGAAATTGATTGCTTAACACTTAACACATTACTACTAACTAGTGGTATTGTTGGCATGATGGATGCCCCAGATCTTGTTTATGATTGGGAATATAGTTGATACTGTTGCGCTGCGTTGTTGATCTTAACAGTCAGACCTAAAATATCAGTACCGTTTAAAGTGATTGCTTCTCCTTTTGCATGTTTGCTGATTGATTGATCTTCAGCTTCCACCATTCGTGTTACGCTTCGGCACCCACAGCAGAGCAAACAAGCAGGCATCAGTTCTAGAAGCTTGCAGAACCCTTGCCTGCGCGGATGGAGAACCGAAAGAATACTGGCCTCATGGTACTGCCGCCGAACCCCTTCCTCACTGCTGTACCCTGCCCGTCTCTTCACTCTTTTCGTCTCATTTTTCTCCCCTTTTGCGCCACCGCGTCTTTGCACACAGAAGAGGAAGCTTCCGAACGATGGGACGGTGCAGGCGCAGGAGCCTACTATCAAGGAGATGTGCCAAGGTAAAGCTGAGCGAATTCTGTCTTCTCGGCCGGAGATGGGTGTTTTTTCCTTGAACGTTTTGTGATTTGGATGATGCAGCCCTGAAGGAGATGGAAAGTGAGCTCCAGAACCTCCGGGACGACAACAACCAGCTCCGCGACGAGCTGTAAGATCAAATGCTTTTGTCGTGCTTGCTGATTTGGGCTCACTTTTATTTTTTGGGGAATGACGGCTGAGACACTGATGCCTCTTCTTTTTCTTGTTGTTGCTGTTGATTCTTTTATGCCAGCCTTGGCAAAGACCGGCAGCTTGCGGAGACACGGACAGTTCTAGTTGACAGGGAGCACAGGCTTTCGAACACCCAGGCACTTCTAGTTGACAGGGAGCAGCAGCTTGCGGCCCAGACACTTGTTGTTGACAGTGAGTTTCCTTGTCTAAATTTTGAGTTCTACTCCCTTTAACATTTGGTCCAAGTTGATGCTTGGAATTTTAGAGAATGGAGATCGGTGGTGTGTCAGCATAAAACATGCATTTATGGGGGATTAATACATGTCTTCTTGAAATAGAGTGCATCAATGTGTCCGGTGGAGAGTACTTTACTGATTAACAGATGTCTATACCTCAAATCAACTTATCTTTGTGGTGATCTGAATTTCACGCAACTCACATATCTAAGTATTTGATTGTTGTAAGCAACTACTTCTCCAGGCTGTGACATTTCTATAGATCAGGCTTAATTATTTGAGTAGTTTTTTTAATCTTAATTTGCTTAATTTGCTGAAGGGGAGCCTTGGCGCAGTGGTAAAGCTGCTGCCTTGTGACCATGAGGTCATGGGTTCAAGTCCTGGAAACAGCCTCTTACAGAAATGTAGGGAAAGGCTGCGTACTATAGACCCAAAGTGGTCGGACCCTTCCCTGGACCCTGCGCAAGCGGGAGCTACATGCACCAGGTTGCCCTTTTTTTTTTTAATTTGCTGATTGCCACAATTCTTTGATGTTTAGTTTGCAAAGTAAACACCAAAAGCGCCGATTGCCTGAGTTGATTTCCCTTTATATGATATACTATGCTGAAAGAGAGTTGGAAAACTAGCAACAAACAAGGCATATCACATGATATTAGTCAACAAACTGAACAGTTATTGTGATACTTCTCACTATTGTAGTAATCTATTCTAATTGGGCCATTGTTATATCAAATTGCTACACACATATAATCGGCATATAATCGATTATATGAGTGTGTCAACATGTGGCCGCACCCTATTGTAGAAGTACACTTTGTGCAGCAAAAAAAGTCCAAATATCATAGATGAGCAACATGCTAGAAAATGTGCATTTGCAGAAAGGCATGCAAAAACATGACCATTTGCAAACTGTTCTCTTGAGTTAAGACAAAAACGCCGTGCGCATATATAGTTGCTATATTGGCCCTTCATCTCTCTGTCTTTTTTTGGGTACAATACACAACTTTACATAATTTTGAACAACTTTTAGCAAGTGCACATGTTATA